CTTCTTGACAGTAGGAAGAGGAAATTGGAAACCTCCAAAAATAATCGATGAAAATTTTCCAATAGAATTGATACTGTGGACTTGAGGCTGTTTCCTCGGAAAGTGTACCGTATGCTCATTACCATTAACATGAAAAGTGACACTGCCTTTGGTGCAATCAATAACACCCCCTGCAGTATTCAAAAAGGGTCTTCCAAGAATAATAGACATACTATCGTCCTCGGGAATATCAAGAATGACAAAGTCCGTTAAAATAGTAACGTTTGCAACCACAACAGGCACATCCTCACAAATACCGACATGTATAGCAGTTGATTTATCATCCATTTGCAAAGATATTTCAGTAGGTGTCAACTTATTCAAATCAAGTCTACGATATAAAGAGAGAGGCATACCACTAACACCGGCTCCAAGATCACATAAAGTAGTTTTAATATAGTTTCTTTTAATGGAGCATGGTATAGTTGGTACTCCTGAATCTCCAAGTTTCTTTGGTATTCCACCCTTAAAAGTATAATTAGCAAGCATGGTGGAAATTTCAGCTTCTGGTATCGTTCTCTTATTTGTAACAATATCTTTCATATATTTAGCATAAGGATTCATTTTAAGCATATCGGTCAAACGCATATGCAAAAACATAGGTCTAATCATTTCAACAAAGCGCTCAAAATCCTCATCATCCTTTTTCTTGGATTTTTTAGGAGGAAAAGGTATGGGTTTCTAAACCCATGATTCCCTTTCTTTACCGTGCTTCCTAGCAACAAAGTCTCTCTTATCATAACGTTGATTCTTTGATTGTGGGTTATCAAGATCAACAACAGGTTCAATCTCTACATCATTATCATTACTAGGTTGAGCATCAACATGAACATCATCATTAACATTATCACTAGGTTCATGTTCATTACCAGATTGTGTTTCAGCATCAGAAATAGAAATATCATTGGGATTCTCAGGTGTGTCTACAACAGGTTCACTAGAAGCATGCAAAGTCCTATCATTTTTCTTTTTCTTCCTCTTAGAAGGACTAGGTGCATCAACATTAATTCTTTGAGAATCCTGCTCGATTCTCTTAGGATGCCCCCCCAGGATACAAAGGCTCTTGAGTCATTTTGCCACCTCTAGTCATAACTCTAATAGCATTATCATTCTTATTGTTTAATTCATTGAGCAAATCAATCTGAGCTTTAAGTACTTGTTTTACTTGAGTGGTAACCATGAAGCATGTTTACTAACAAGTTTAAGTTCACCTTTAACATTAGCCATATAATTACTCAAGTGCTCAACCATATAAGCATTATGTTTCAATTGTCTACCAACATAAGCATTAAAATTTTCTTGTTTAACAATAAAATTATCAAACTCATCTAAGCATTGGCTAGCAGACTTATTACGAGGAATATCACCTTCATCAAATCTATAGAGAGAATTTACCTTTACTACCTGTGTCGGGTTATCAAGATCGTGTATTTCTTCAATAGGTGATGAATTAAGACCATGTATCTTCAACAGGAGGTAAATTCTTAATATCTTCAGCTTTAATACCTTTTTCTTTCATAGATTTCTTTGCCTCTTGCATATCTTCGGGACTGAGAAATAGAATACCCCTTTTCTTCGGAGTTGTCTTAGGAGTTGGTTCAGGAAGTGTCCAATTATTTTCATTAGTCAACATATTATTCAATAGCAATTTAGCTTGATCAACAGTTCTTTCCCTGAAAACACAACCAACACAACTATCCAGGTAATCTCTGGAAGCATCGGTTAGTCCATTATAAAAGATATCAAGTATTTCATTTTTCTTGAGAGGATGATCAGGCAAAGCATTAAGTAATTGGAGAAGCCTCCCCCAAGCTTGTGGGAGACGCTCTTCTTCAATTTGCACAAAATTATATATTTCCCTTAAAGCAGCTTGTTTCTTATGAGTGGGGAAATACTTAGCAGAGAAGTAATAAATCATATCCTGGGGACTACGCAGACAACCAAGATCAAGAGAATTAAACCATATCTTAGCATCACCCTTTAATGAGAACGAAAATAATTGAAGGATATAATAGTAGTGAGTTTTCTCATCATTAGTGAATAGGGTAGCTATATCATTTAATTTAGTAAGATGTGCCACAACAGTTTTAGATTCATACCCATAGAAAGGATCAGATTCAACCAAAGTAATTATATCATGATCAACTGAGAAATCATAATCCTTATTAGTAATAAAGATAGGTGAAGTAGCATAAGCAGGATCATATTCCGTTCTAGCATTCAGAGTTCTTTCTTTCAGCTTAGCTAATAATTTCTTAAGATCACTTCTATCATTGCAGGCAAGAAAGTCTCTAGCAGCTTCTTCATCTATAACATAACCCTTAGGAACAACAGGCAATTCATATCTAGGGGGAGAATCTTCATCATCACTTTCATCTATATTATCAGTTTCAATAATTTCATTCTCTCTAGCCCTAGCAAGTTGTTCATCAAGAAATTCACCAAGTGACACAGTAGTATCAAGCATAGAAGTAGTTTCATCATAAGTATCATGCATAGCAGAAGTGGCATCATCAATAACATGCGACATATCAGAATTAATAGCAGAAGCAGGTTTAGGTGTCGCAAGCTTACTCAAAACAGAAGGTGAATCAAGCGCAGAGCTAGATGGCAGTTCCTTACCAACCCTCGTAGTTGAGGGATAGATCTTGGTTCTCTTTCAAGTTCTTCATAATGATAAGCAGATATAAATCCCAAGTGACTCAAAAAATAGAGCTATGCTCCCCGGCAATGGCGCCAGAAAATACTGAGTTGTCAATTCAACCACACCTGGAAACTTAATATCCACAGCAAAGTATTTAGTAGCAAAGTAATATGATAGCAGTGATAACGATAGCAAAAGTAATATTTTTGGTTTTTGTAGTGATTGTAATAGTAGCAACAGAAAAGTAAATAAGCGAAGAACAATATATGAAAAGCTCGTAGGCAATGGATCGGTGATGAAGAATTATGCCGGATGCGATCAATCATGTAACAGTTATAACATAGGGTGACACAGAACTAGCTCCAGTTCATCAATGTAATGTAGGCATGTATTCCGAATATAGTCATACGTGCTTATGGAAAAGAACTTGCATGCCATCTTTTGTCCTACCCTCCCATGACAGTGGGGTCCTATTGGAAACTAAGGGATATTAATGCCTCCTTTTAATAGAGTACCAGACCAAAGCATTAACACATAGTGAATACATGAACTTCTCAAACTACGGTCATCACCGGAAGTGGTCCCGATTATTGTCACTTCGGGGTTGTCGGATCATAACACATAGTAGGTGACTATAGACTTGCAAGATAGGATCAAGAACTCACATATATTCATGAAAACATAATAGGTTCAGATCTGAAATCATGGCACTCGGGCCCTAGTGACAAGCATTAAGCATAGCAAAGTCATAGAAACATCAATCTCAGAACATAGTGGATACTAGGGATCAAACCCTAACAAAACGAACTCGATTACATGATAAATCTCATCCAACCCATCACCGTCCAGCAAGCCTACGATGGAATTACTCACGCACGACGGTGAGCATCATAAAATTGGTGATGAAGGAAGGTTGATGATGACGATGGCGACGGATTCCCCTCTCCGGAGCCCCGAACGGACTCCAGATCAGCCCTCCCGAGAGAGTTTAGGGCTTGGCGGTGGCTCCGTAACGTAAAACGCGATGAATCATTTTCTCTAATTTTTTCTCCCCGAACACAAATATATGGAGTTGAAGTTGAGGTCGGTGGAGCGTCAGGGGGCGCGCCCAGGGGGTAGGCGCGCCCCCACCCCCGTGGACAGGGTGTGGGCCCCCTGACGTGGATCTTTCTTCCAGTATTTTTTATATATTTCAAAAATAATCTCCGTTGATTTTCAGGTCATTCCGAGAACTTTTATTTCTGCACAAAATAACATCATGGCAATTCTGCTGAAAACAGCGTCAGTCCGGGTTAGTTCCATTCAAATCATGCAAGTTAGAGTCCAAAATAAGGGAAACAGTGTTTGAAAAAGTAGATACGACGGAGACGTATCACACGTCCCATCGGCAAACGCGGCCCGAGCCGCCATCCGCCATGGGAGGACCACCACCACCTCTTAAGGCCCCCGCCCCGGTTCCCAATCTCCGCCGCCAGCACTGCGTCGCCCGGGGCGACGCGCCGACACGACCAGACAGCTCCCCGCGGGGAAGAAACCGCGCACGTGAGAAGGCAACCTTGCTACCGCCGTTGACCAGGGGGCTTTGCCTGCCGGCGTCCTCCGACGGCAGCGGAGGAGACGAGGGGGAGAAAGCTGGAGGTGGCGACGGCTAGTGTTTCCGCCCGAGCCGCCCCAGGAGAGCGACACAGGGGTTCATAGTCAATCAATCCCCAACACATTATTATGCACGCTATAGGAGCTCTCTTTGTGTACAGTTTCTGATCTAGAGATGCACCTGAATGAACAGTAAAATCTAAAAAACAATAAACAAAATTTAAAGAAATCTGATTTTTTTGGCAACAAATATTAATAAATTGTTCACGTGCATTCCAAATATTTGTGATGGAATCACATTTCTGAAGGTCCAGAAAAAAAATCAATGCTACAAGATGATCACAAATGTCATTCCATCATGATTTTTTTGCACGCAGGTGAAAGATTCATTAATGTTTATCGCAAAAGTCATAATGTTTTGAATTTATTTACCATGGATTTTACAGTTCACCGGGGTGAATGTGAGCTCAAGATCAGAAACACCGTGTCCTCACCCGCCAAAAAAAGAAACACTGTCCTGATTTGGTAATCTTGGAGATACCCTCAATGAGATGGTCACACGTTGCTCTCGGCTTTGTTTTTCTTGAAAGGGACTCTCCCTCTCTCTCTCTCTCTCAGCTAACCTTAGATAGCACGAGGCTCAGCTGCCAGTCTACCTTCCACTCTTGTGCTCCGGCTTTTCCCCTCAGTAAGCGTATATATAAACTCTCCTGTGCATCCCCATATGAGGCTTGCGTGCACCATGGTCACCACGGAGATCAAGAAGAAGGATGCGAGGGGTCTGCTGCTCGTGCTCTTCCTCGGCCAGCTCTTGGCCTTCTCCATGGCGGCCGCCAGCTTCACCTCGTCCTTCCTTGCCAATCTTGGTACCCAGCCTAATCTGTAGCTTCCAAACTATCATTCCATACAGCTCTTACTAATCTTCGTTCTTAGTTACTACGAATTACCCATCCTCTGCATGCATTGGCCTGTTAGTACAAGACGAATCATCATTTGATAACCCAGGAGATAAGATGTGGTTTCTATCACTTCTATGTACTTATGCAGGAGTTGATGCACCACTCACGCAGTCCTTCTTCGCATACCTCCTGTTGACCTTAGTTTATGTACCAATCCTCTTGCGTCGACGACAGAAACCGCGGGTGAGCAGAGCACACAGCTGCACGAAAATCGGTCATGGAGCTTACCGTCATTTTCGCGGGAAATCATGGAACTTCCCGTACGTGGTTTCACTCTTGAGGGCACTCTTGTCTTGCAGATACCTTGGTATTGGTACCTAGCGCTGGCCTTCGTCGATACGCAGGGGGGCTATCTGGGTGAGTAGAAATAGTACACACTTCAGTGAGATGCAGAAAAAAATGCCATCTTTACTCCTGACGATGAGCATATATAAAACTTGTTATAATCCTAAAACTTGTATTTCAGTTGTCAAGGCATACCAGTACTCATCGATCACCAGTGTAACATTGTTGGATTGTTGGACTGTTGTCTGGGTCATCATACTCACACGGTACGCACTAGGCACGAGATATTCTTTCTGGCAGTTTCTAGGGGCAGGGACCTGTGTGGCTGGACTAGCGCTTGTGCTCCTTTCAGATGCAAAATCTCCAGATGAGCAAGGTAAGTAAGCAACTACTCCCTCCGTTCCGTAATTCTTGTCGTGGTTTTAGTTCAAATTAACTATGGAACCGAAGGAGTACTGAAGACTTACAACACCAAGGAAGAATGCCATTTTCAAAAACAAAACAAAAAACTCAGCAACAAACCTAGGATATATGGGCACAGCATGAAGTTCTTGACAGAGTTGACAGTATGTCTCTCCCCTATTATTTTTCCTTTAGAACAAAACATGTACTCCCTCCGATCCATATTAATTATCACTGATTTAGTACAAAGTATGGATGTGCTCAAATCAAAAACTAATTCATGAACCCAACATGCCGAAATGGTTTCATCAATTTCTACAGCGGAAAAATTTGTTATCAGCTTACAGAAAAACTTCATTTTCTGCAGATCCAGGTCAAATGCCACTTCTAGGGGATGCCCTTGTTATTGCCGGGACAGTTTGCTTTGCATTTAGCAATGTCGGGGAGGTTAGCGACGAACTATACATATTCCGCTACTAATGAACAATGTTTTCTCAAAATTCTAGTAAGTATAGCAATTTCCTTTAATATGCAGGAATACTGTGTCAAGAAGAACGACCGAGTGGAACTTGTTGCGATGCTTGGACTATTTCAGTTGTTTATCAGTACAATTCAGATGTATCCTTTCCACAGTTCACTATTAATTACAGATCAGTAGAGAAAACTAACATGATCCGTTAATGTCGCCATCCATAGCTTTGCTTTATGCTATCATTATATTTCCATCTGGAACAAAAATGACTTGATATACACTTTTCTGGAGCAAAATACTCATGTTAGCTCTTGATCTGACAAAACATCAGATTTATATTCGAAAGAAAGAGCCTAGAAGCAATTGCCTGGTCTCCAACAATGGTAGCACACTATAGTTTTAGTTTAACTCTTTTATCTGCAATAGACTTTTTTGAATTATCTGACAGGATACTGACTTCTGCTTTGAATATTTTGACCTTTTCATTTTCAGATTAGTTCATTCGCTGGATATGCCATTGCAATATTTACGTTCACCTCCATTAGTCCATTTGTCCTTAAGGTTAAGTTCCCTCCAACATGTTAGGCAGAAATTAAGCTACACAAGTATGAATCAAATAAAAATTGATCCGAACAAGGAGTTATGAAGTATCTGAATAAACTACAAAAATAAGCCACTTGGTTGATATTACTCTCTCCGTTCCAAAATAAGTGTCATGGTTTTATTTCAAATGTAAACTAAAACCACGACACTTCTTTTTTAACGGAGGGAGTACTTCATTAGGAACTATCAGCAAGAAGGCTGTTTCATTTCTTATTACAGTGCAATAGTAATTTAGCCCATTGATTGCGATAGCTCTTGCAGATGAGTGGATCAACGTTGTTTAATCTCTCACTCTTGACATCTGACATGTGGGCAGTAGCCATTCGACTATTGTTCTATCAACAACAGGTGACCATTTCTGACCGGTCATTGCACCGAATCATAATATATACTCCCTCCATTCACTATAATAAGATGTTCTAATTTCTTTCTGAATCAGATGTATATAGACGCATTTTAATGTATTTGTTCACCCATTTCAGTCTGTATGTAGTCTATCTTAAAAATATCCAAAACATCTTATATTTGTGAATGAAAGGAGTTGCATATATATATATATGCTGACATGCTTTAGTGGCAACAGATCAACTGGCTGTACTACGTAGCATTCTCAGTTGTGGCCATTGGATTAATCGTCTACTCACTGAAGTAAGTTCTTTCGAGACGTTCGAGACCCATGTGCAGACATGACAGTCATTGCAGGAATCTAACACACCTAATTGCTTGTAATGTATGAAGTGAGAGTTCTCCGGTCGATGGAACAGCTAAGGGTACAGAAGCGGCAGCTCACTATCAACAACTTCCAAGTGAGGATAGCTCAACAAGTGGTTCTAATTTGGACAGCCAAGAAAACAAGCAACTGGAAGCAGCTCACATCTGTTAGGGGGTCTCAACGTACAAAGCCAGCTCCATGATTTCGGGTATGGCCATGATCAGACGGCAGAAGAGCATGTGCAGGGTACAAAATCATGTGCAATTCATGTAAATGCAGGGCCCTTATTGCTTCAAGAGAAAGATTATTTTGTACTAGGATCGGAGGGTGATCAGAATACTTTTTGTAGCATATAAGTCCAATAAAATAAATAGGGCCATAGTTACCAAAATAGGTGCAGGACCTACAACTACACACCATAATGAAGCCTACATTGTACCCCATTGTTCCCACCAGAATGATCAATTTT